ACAGAGAAAGTTCATAACTATAACCTGATTTTGCAAGTGGGGAAACCAATGCACAGGCAGGGAAATTTGACTAAGAGCCACATCACAAGCTGGTCACCAGCCAGACACAGAATACAAAAGTCTGAAACTGCAAGAGTCCAGTGGTATTTACTGCTGATTGTAAACAGGAGGAAATTGTAAATAGGATTATAAATAGGAGGAATTTTCTTTACTGCTTTTGTAAAGCATTCCTATTTTCAATTCTGTCTAATTCCCTTAATCCAAATTGTAAGAAATTTGGGGTACTGTTGTTGATTCACTGGATTCTTCCTTCTCTAGACCCCTGAAACTTTATAAATGGAACACAACTACTAGTTTTTCTTGTAAGTGTGCATATATATGTATACAGATATCAACACAAAAAAAGAAAAGATTAAGTTTCATTAGTGTGCATTTACTAACCATCTTTTTCTGTATCCTTCAGACACACAACAGTGTCAGGTAAAAGTCCTTTTTCTGATAACGCTGACCAATGATCTACTGATAGAGGGTAGTTATCCACTACCCATCCTCCTTTTTCTGGAGCACCAGGAAACCTGTCTTTGTTCTTCTTCATAAGCTGTTATAAAATGGCAGGTTCAGTAACATGAAAAGACTAAGGTAGTCTGTGAGCTGTTCAGAAAGACTGCACAATACAAAATGATTTTCTGAATGTTATGATTTTTCCCTATTGGCATTTCATTTCAATAAAAAGTAAGGCATTTATAACTTTATATGTCTGAAAGAAATAAAAACATTTTAAACAAACAGAGATTCATGTGCCAGTGATTTTTTTAAGGTTGCCTGTAAAGAATTTAGATTCCAGTTTCAGTAGTTACAAACCGGTGAACAAATCTAAAACAATTCAAGATTCTTGGATAAACCTTCACATACAATTCTTTTCAAACACTTGTATCTGGTGTTGAGCTCTTTAATAGTGACTAAGAGTATAAAAATAGGGCAAGCATACGGTGATACTTCCCTCAAACGATTTTGCCAGCCTTTAATAAAGCCCAGGTACTTTGCAAGACAGAAATAATTTGTGTATATATCTACACATATATATATATATGTACTTTGCAAGACAGAAATAATTTTTGTATATATATACACATATATACACATATATGTGCACATATATACACATATATTATATATATATACATATATAGATGTGTATATATATATGTGTATGTATATATATATACAGTAGTCCTCAATAGATTTGTCTTTCATGATCTTGCTCAGTCTCTCCTCAATCCTATGTAAGCTTTCAGGCTATGTGATATAAACTAAACTGATCTTTCAAGTGGAAAAATTAAGAACATATATCGATAATGTATAAACTGTTACAGGTTGCTCTTAGAAAAAAAGTGCTTTGCTATACAGTACTTGTAGTTTTACCTCTGCAATAGCTCTCTCCAGTACTTCAGCATATATTTCAGGTGACAGTGTAACTTCAGAGACTGATGCACTTTTTATGGCTTCTTCTACCATCGCTTGAACTTCTGGGTGGTCAGCAGTTACCTCTGCCGTTCCTAAGAATATAGATTTTTTAAAGCACTTCACAAAAATTCTGAAATACTGATTTCCTCTGGTCAGGAATAACTGCTAGGCAATTAAATACAGCCACTTCATAATTACAGTGCAGCAGCCATTTTAAGCAATATTACACAATCATACTGAGAAAGAATAAAATAACAGTTCTTCTGAATGCAGTTCTAGAGACTATTTCAAAAAGCTAAGTTTTAAGATCTTGGTTTGTTCTCTCATTACAAAAAAAAAACCTTTTTAACTGTACAGTTTTTTCTACGACTAAGTGAAATATTGTTTCAATATGAATGGAATGACATTTGTGTACTAGAACAATCATGCACCTGCAGCACCTGAGAATTTCCTTTGATTTGATTTCTCTTTGATTCCTAAATCAAAAGGTTGACCAGATTAATTTAAAAATCAATACAAATCATAGATCAAGATAGTATATTGTCAACAATCAAGAAGGCTGCATTCCCTAAGATGCACAAAACATTCATATTGGATCCATATTTTGTTATTAATTGCTGACACAACGGACTGTAATTGTTTAAAATTTTTTAAGGATCACTCAGAGTTAGTTCACAGTTTAGATACTAATTTGATAAAACTTGGTGAAGAACTGTTTTAAGAAACCTCAATATCTACTATGTGAAGAGTATAACTTGGAAAAAATGCCATATTTACTTTCTGTAATTATGCCAAGATTTTTCACTGATTGCATTGATACTTTTTACACACACAAATTTACACATTATCAGGTTATTTTTGCCAAGTTACAAGCTCCCTGGGAAAGGGACAATATCTTCCTAAGTGCTTCCATTCTGCAAAAAAATTCAACCCAACCCAAAACCAAAACCAAACAGACTTTATAGTTATCACAGCTAAAGATATTATATTCTACTTCTTCAGTCCAAGAAATAGATCTTTCTTTATTGCTCTCTTCAATATCTTTTGCTGGTATAGAATGTCATAAATTAAAGGAAGAATATAATTGAAGGAACAAATGTTTTTCTTTAAAAAGACAAAGAAATTTGTAAAAACTACCACACAATCCACATTTATTTCATTTCCATTTTAGATCCTTATAAATATATTTCATTAATGTCCATTAATTGGATCTACCTAATAATCTATCTTTCTTGGTTGAGACGAAATGACAGTCTGTTCTGTATGAAAAAAATACTACTATTTGTAAACCAGGTCAGGCTTACAAACATATTTCATTTGTTTAAGTATATTTCAACAGGTTAATTAAAATTTAGCATACTTTTAAGTTTCTCATATTCAAGTGGCAAAAACTCCCACTCCTGAATTCAGATCCTCTCTTCCCTTTTTTTTTGTGTGTGTGAATTAACACCTATTCTCCTTATCTATTAAAAATTTCTGAAACAGTCTTATGCTATAAAAAGATATGTAAGTGAAAATACCAAACTTTTCATCAAAATACATGCTTAGCTCCTACAAAGGTCAGTGGGAGTCTTTTCCCCCTGTACACTAATGTGGTATTAATGGGTTAATATCTTTCAATGACAAAATTAATGTCTCATTTTAGGTTTCTCAAAACAACAGTATCAGCAGTAAGGAAAAAATATAAAATAGTCCTACAACTGTAAATGAGGAAAAAAAATATTATCTTTCACTTTTTAATTTGCAAGACACATTGAAGGCATGGAACGACATGCTTAAAATAGCTAAGATTTACTTCTTGCTTTTTTGGATGATGGCAGATTTTATAGCAGTCCCCTCTTCCAAGTTTATTCCCTCTCTGGTTTTAGTGATTTCTTCAGAATTATCTGCTTCTTTGACACTACTATGTTCTTGCAAGTCTCCTATAGTTATGAAATCGTATTAAATTCACAGAAAACTAGATCAGTAGAAAACCCTTTTATACAAATACTTCACCACAAAATCCATCTGACTAAACCAGCTACATGTCAGCGTTCTTTTTATCTGCAGCCTCCCAATCTGTGGAATCCCCCAACACGCCTCCTAGGAATCACAAGCACTTCTACAGCCCTCGTGAAGGCCAGACTAGGACCCATCAGCCTGTGAGACACATGGCTCTCTAGAAGTACCAGGTTTTATATGCCTGTTTCTCCCCTTAAAAGAGATCAGAAATATGACAAAAGCCAGAAAAGAGTTAAAAAATACACAAGTCCTGAACACTTCTTCAGTTCAACAGATTTAATACCCTCCCCTGCTTTCCCTCCAAACAGAACAATGTGGTTCTGTTTGAGCTGGATGTCATCTGAGCACATTAACAGACTGGGACACTCTGAGCACGTATATGTTACCTTTTTCGTTTGAATCAGAAGAGCATGTTTAAAGTGAATCTCCTGATCCTCCCCATGCTTTGGTACACATGGCAAAGCAGTCTTGGAACAAGCAAACTAATTGATTCCTTCCAGACGCACTATGCTGAAAACCATTAAGTGTTCAGCCCATGAGATCACAATACAGCTAGTCTGAAAGTCCTCTGTGCATGACATGGATATTGAGTCTTTAGCACCAACTGCTTCAGTCTCCTGACCTACTCTGACAGTAGACAGAAACTCTGTGGCCTTCAGTGGATTTTCACAGCCTTTGTCTATCCCTGAACTGGACTTGGGAGCACTCAGGACAGTCAGGGGGCCATTTACCTAATTAAACTTATATATATATATATATATATCTTTTGCATAATTTTTAGCAATTCTCTGTAATTCTCTCAAAAGGCAGAATTTATGAGGTAATTAACTAATTTTGTTAGGAACAGGAAATACTTTCTGGGATAGTTACCTCTAGATCTAGATTCAAGCTTCCAAAAATATTTAATTTCCCTTTCTGAAGCTTTCTTACTTTCTATGACAATTTACATCCTTCATCTGTTTGTAGTTCTGTTTTGCAATAAAATTGCTTGAGCTCTGTAAGGTTATTAATTAGGATTAAGTTCTTATTAATCCTAATATGATTTCACATACCTGTCCTCAAAAGCATTTACATAGCCAGGAATCTGGAACATAACACTGTTTAATGGTTTTAAGTTTGGTGTCATAGTTCACCATTATTCTTACTGCAACGCCAATGGTTTTTGTATCACTGTCAGCCTCTACGTTTTGCAGCACCAGGTGAGTATACTGACTTCTTGTTAGATATGTATCTATCCATGAGTAAGTCAAATACAGTGATTCCTTGCTTAGTTGAATAAGGCAAAATGGCCTGATTGTCCATTTGAACCATAACTAGAGCTAACTGGAAAATGCAGTACCAATTCAATGAAAAATTTTCATTTCAAAAGAAATAATTTTGACCCCCCCCCCCAAAATTTCCTGCAAAAAGAAAATCCAAATTTTGTTTAAAAGATATTAAAAGAACATGTCATTTTCACCTTTTCAAAATATTTTCTGAATTCATCAAGCTGCAAAAATCTGGGCAGCTGAAGAAGTCTAAACGTGACCAGAGCTGGAGAGTCTTGTGAATGTGCCATCTGAAACAGTATACTTGGAAGGCTGCTCCAAAGTGGAAAATCTGTAGATTGTGAGTTCACATCAGCCTAGCTGACAATCTGCTTTTGTGAAAAAAATTTCAATTTTGCAGAGATCTAACTTGTCAGAAAGTCATTCAAATGGGAAGTTTCCAACCAGTATCAGTCAGAACCAATTTCTTCTTTCAAAAAGAGCTCAGAAAACTCTTCCTTATATATTTGTGGCCCTCAACTTCAGAGGATTTATATATAAGATCAAAAATACTGAATTCTACTCAGCTATTCCCTTCACTGCATGTTCTTTTAGTTCATATTTAATGCACAACAACAATAACAACTTCTGTAATATTTTATAAGTTGAACTGACAGCAATTTCTTCAGTTAAATAACCTAAAGCAAATAAGATAGCTTCAAAGACCATGGAGCACCTTATTCACCTGGTTCTGTTGACTGTTTTTCTAATTCCAACCTATTTTTCACTGCTGTTATAGCCTTTTCTACTGTATCCCTTTGCACTTGCTCAATGTTTTCTTTTCTTGATTCTTCCACATGGGGTTGAATGAGTTTGGCCATATCAAGAACCTAGTGAAATGATTTGAAAAAATAAAAATATCACAAAAGAGAAATATAGCATCTGATTCAACTTCTATACAATGAAATTAATTTGGAAAAGCTCTGCAAATTTCAGAAAAATTTGCATATAATTCAAGTGCAGGTTTTTTTGTAGAAAAATAATTTCTAATTTGCATTTACATTTCATTAACTTAGATACAGAAGTTATTCATAATGTTCATATGCTAAGACAGATAACTGACACAAATTTTTGTCTTACATAGAAGGTAAATAAAAATATTTTTGAAATTCAGATACTTTTATGTAAATGAATTTCACTAAATTACTATGATTCCTCTGTAATCCATATGTTTGCAACGTGTATGTTAGTAACAAGAGGAATAAGAATGTGCTTAACTGATTCCTAAGCCTCAGCTGATACCCTTGTTACATAAGACTTTTATAAACCTACCTTTCCTTTATATTTGTGTGCAATAAGGTTACAAATAGTTGTTCTTCCAGAGAATGGAGGACCAAATACTAGTACTTTACAAGGAGGAAGTGGCATTGGTGGTAACAGGTATGGCCGTGGATTCAACATAAATGTTTTCAGTGCCTCTGGGGATGACAGTACGTACATTTTACCTAGAAAACTTAAAACAGAAGAGAAGCTAACAGATATAGTCAGTTATCTTATAAAATAGAAATAAAAATTCAGTGTCAAATTCTGCTAACCTGACAGCCAAGTCTGGGTTTCCCATTACAAGATCACCTTCCTTTAGAGCCACAGGACATGCTTGTCCCCACCTGCTTCTACGCCATCGATATCTGTGTGCTATTAGTTTGTAAGATGACAGAACCCGGAAAAGTTCATCCTGTTTATTAAAACAGCAATAACAGCATATGTAATTTTTGTCTGAAGCTACATATGCCTTGTTCTTAGCCTTTTTTGAAATATTTTGTTGGAAAATAAGCAAACCTAAAAATAAAACCACATTATGCTTTTTAGAATCTTTAAAAAAACCCACATATTTCAGAAGTGTAGGACACTTTTAAGGAGAATCTATTTAGTTTTTCAATGTTATTTAATAAAAATAATTCTTGTAGGCTTCATTTATTATTTTCAGAAGTTTAAAAAATAAAAAGGTACAAATCAGCCATTTATTGAAGACAACAGAAAATGGCCAAGACTACTTCTAAAGGGGATGAAGAAAGGGCCACAATCCGTGTGGGGGAATAGCAAGGCCAAAATATCTCTTTTAGGCATGCAGAAATGTCATGTGATAGAAGTTTAATAGACCTTTTACAGAAGGTAGGTAGTGAGTGAATCCTAAAGTTTATGGTGACTCTAAATTATTCAGAATAGTACAGACAAGTGCTGGCTGTGAAGAACTGCAGCAGGACCTTCAGCATCTAGGAAGCTGGGCATTAAAATAGCAGTTTTACACAGAAAATTATGAGTTGTCATTGACTCTCGCTACTTGGGAATATATCTTGGAGTCATAATACATACTTCCATGAAAACATCTGGTCAATGCCCAGGAGCAGTCAGAAACCCAACCTGAACGTTAGGGATGTTTAGCAAAGAGTGAATAGAAGATAAAGGTTTATTTTTTTTTTTATTGTATAAATCCTGCCTTCATCTTTACTGCTATGTGCATTCTGCTACCCTAATCTCAAAAATTTTGCAGCAGAATTGGAAAAGTTTCAGAAAAATGTAATATGACTGATCAATCACACAAAAAGATTTTCATGTAAGAAAGAATAAGATTAAGTACACTGGAACTCTTCAGGCCAGGAACAAGACAGCTACATAAGAACAGGACAGAAGTCTGAAATCATGAGTTATTAGAGGGCAGATAGAGAGAACAAAACTATTTCCTGACTTTTGCATATCAACAGCTAGAGGATACTGAGCTAAAAGGTGGCAGGTTCAACACAAAGGGAACCAATTCTGTATATAATGTCCAGTTAAGCTGCAGAACTCCTTGCCCCAGATACTGTCTGTGGATGCTAAAAGCTTACACACAGACTAACACAAACACACAGACTAACTAAATAATCAATACAGATGACCTCTGACACAGAAAGTGCTTCACTTGTGAATTTGTCAGGGACTGAGAAAACAGAAAAGTCAAGAGGGTGGTGTTTCTCTGAAAATGTATAGTGGGGTCTCCCAGTTACAGTACCATTCATATATGCAAAGAAATAGGAAAGGTGACTGCAAGTGAATATAGGTGAAGACATTTATGCAGACTTCTGTTTTTGAGTTTTATTTGGAAGGGACACAAATTATAATTTTCATGATTCAGCAAAATGCAGCACTAAATTGTCATGTTTCTAATTAATTACATGAAATACAACGTATGTCATTTCAGGTGTGCAGGATGTTGCTGAATTTGTATTAGCATGATGTTTCTCATTCGGGAAAAGAGGAAAGACTGAGCTAAGAGCTGCTGAGATTGTTATTCTTTGGCTAAAGTTTCTTTCTTTTCTTGGAAGGAATTCATTCTTCCTCTATAGCTAAACCAAACATTTTGTTCAAAATTTATTATAATAATCAAACTTTTTTTTTTTTTAATGGCAGACATCTTTCTTTTCATCCTCTTTTAAGTGGATTTCCGTCACAGAATTATCTTAAATTCACATTTCTGAAAAATCAAGGCTCAAAAAATGCCCTTATTGCACGGTAAAACAAACTGGTTGCTGTGAAACAAAGATGTTATAATATAAGCTTACAGAAGAAAATTAAAAATATTCTTACAATTATAACAGTCAATCACATTTTAGAGAAGCACACTTACATTTCCCAGTCCCTCCAGCATTTCTTCTTGCTGACTTTGAAGTCTAGTTATAGGAGCTCCATTTCGAACACCCAGAGATTGAAGTCGAACTACCACTGACTGAAGAGAAAATAACTCTTGACTTAGTACCAATCAAAACTGCTTTTGTCATCTGAAAGGACCCCCAAAGTATTTTTAAAATTGTAACTTATTGTTTATATAATGGCTACATATACATTAAGGCCCAGTTTCTAGCATGGAGTCATGCTAGTTATTGAGCTGAGTTTTAACAAGCTACTTGGTAGATACAGGCAGTGCAAAATGCTGAATCACAGCCTTTGTATTTCCTCATTATGCTGTGAATCCCAAGCCTTCTAAAGGAATAGGCTGTGAAGGATTCTTTCCCACAAAGCAGTGGAAGTATTCAGATGAGCTCCAATCTGAAAAGGAGGAAAGTCTCTTTAGGAGATCAGCTTATGCACACTTGGAAGTAATACAACTTTGGGCAATTTATTTAAAAAGATACTTAAACCAGATGTCTGCCAATGAGAATCAGATGATATTAAATTTAATTGAAGTATTTCCTGAACATAATCTTGCTTGAATGCAAGTGTTCTTGGAATTAAAAAGCAAATTCTATCATGTTTGGACTAGTTTCATAATAGGTCTTTGCCTTACTTATAGCTAAAATTGTTGGAATCACTACACAACTCAATTGCCTTTACTATAAATTTTCTGTTGTAATGTTCACAAACAGATCATAAATGAGGAAATTTTATGTTCCAACTCTGCAAAATTAGTGTTTTTTTTTCCCACAGGACTACTCTTGGTAGTAAAGTTACGCATAAATTGAAATAATACTTACAGAATTATAATTGATTCAATTTGTTTCAAACAACAGAGGGAAAACTGCAGGAGCAGCTCACTTCCTACATTGTCAAAGACACTCTCTCACGTAATTTTCAACCCCATACTTTAGGTTCTGATTTGAAGCAACTCCTGTTTCTGAGCCAGAGGATAAGATTATTCATTTTCAAATTTTATCACTGTAGTTTTTTAACAGGGAGAATGAGTTGCTACGTTATGAGCTAACAATCTAGACACAAGCACTCAGCAGAATTGTTAAAAGAATGAAGTGTCTTCTATTATACTGTAAAACAACATCAAAGTTCATAAAAATTCTGTCATTATGTTAGACACCAGCACAAAATAAGCCAATTCTGTAAATACATCATACTAAAAATGTTTTAATTTCTCCATGTTAATAATGATATTTTACACTAATACACAAAATAAGGCGCTAAAAACAGATGGATACAATGCAAAGGAGTTCATAGCCTCCCTGAAAATATTCTCATGTCATATATATGTAAGCCTGGGGGTGGTGCAGTGAATCTTATAATTGTTTTAATAGAGCAACAAAAGCAAGCATTTCAAAGGTCATGTTTTCTAATGGTAATTAACTGAGTTTTAAACACAACTTAAAATTTTGCCAACACCTTAATACAGAAAACAATCCACAGAATTGAGAAATTATTTTCTAGTGGAGGTTAACTAAGTTGGTGCATAGCTTACTTACTACAAAGAGATCATCTGGTTGCTGATTTCCATCCAGTTCAATAAGATATTGACAATCCTGTTCAGCCATCAAGTCCTGTTTAAGAACAAAGACATACTCATCAATTGAGTATAGTTAACCGCATAATGACATTGAAACTCATTCTGTTCCTATACATATCCAAGGCTGGACTCCTTGTGGACTTCAGCAAAACCAAGATTCATTTTACTGATGACTTATAAAATCTTCTGGAGAGAAATTTTTATTTGGTGATGGATAAATACAGAGAGAATTCCAAAATTGGAGTTACAATGGGTTCAGAAAGCAGATCAGATATCCTAGCTCAAATGCAAGAGAGCTACAAAGAACCAAGATACAGTAATGTTTTGCATATGAACTCAGCTTCTAATTGTCTATCTACCTTAATTCTCTGTTGCAAAATGGTGACAATATCAATTAACAGATTTCTTGGAAATACCAGCCATGAAACCAATGTTTTCATTTTGGTCCTGTCTCAATTTCTGTAAAATTTGAACAATATATTTGATCTTTCTTATTTTCAATTTTCCCATTAGAAAATAAGATATTAGGCTAAAATAGACATCCCACATCCGTTGTTAATGTCTCTGTCTGAGGACTGAGAACACTCACTCCATTCCTGACAGATGTTGGTCTAATCCCAGCCCTGAAAAAGCCTAGTGAAGGTGACTTTACAACTTTGCAGGTAATCTATTCCAGTTCTTCACTACACTTATGGTCACAGTTCCTTTCCTTGCATCTAGTCTAATTCTTCTATACTATAAATTATTTGTCCTATCTTTGGTAGAAATAGATAATAACTAATTACTTCTTTCTAATACTCTTCTACAGAGAAGATAATAGTCTGTGTTTCTCTTATATACAATGGTCTTATTAGTACATCCATAATATTTGCTTTTGTGCAATAGCAACACATTTATTGACTCAGTTTATGACTAACTAAAACCCCACAGATTGCAGATTGTCTGTAGTGCTGAGGTCTAGCCAGTTATTTCACGTTGTAGCTGTTCATTAGGTTTCCTCCCTAACTGTAGTATTTCACACGTATTTCTACTCAATTTCATCCTAACAACTTATCAAGAAATCAAAGTCTGTTCTCCAAAGTTCTTTCTGCCTATCCCAGTTCAGTGCAAACTGCACATCTTATACGTTTTTTTTTTTCAATTTCATCATCTCAACCTCTACCTGGGCCCATGATAGACTTCTATGCTCTTTTAATGTATTAGTGGACCACTGAGTATGTTCACTAATACATTCATCATTAGTGAAGCCTAAGTAAGACCTACCAACTAGTGCATGTGTTGAAAGTGTTGAAATTTGGTGTACATCCTAAAGTGATTTAATCTAAACAACTTTCCATTAATTTGCTTACAAGAAATCCACATGAGATTGTATAATGATTAAAGATATCACTTTTTGTTTTCCCCTTCACAGCAGTAACAAGTTTCTTACTCTAGGAAAGAACATTATACCAGTTTTACACAATTTGATCTATAGGTTTATCTAATCCATAGGGAAATTGAATGGCATAAATAAACAGCAATTGTCAAGTGTGCAGCAAACATGAGGCTTTTGCAGTTGCTTGTATCAGGAGAGAAAAAAGAAAAAAGAAAAAAGAAAAAAGAAAAAAGAAAAAAGAAAAAAGAAAAAAGAAAAAAGAAAAAAGAAAAAAGAAAAAAGAAAAAAGAAATTGAATGGCATAAATAAACAGCAATTGTCAAGTGTGCAGCAAACATGAGGCTTTTGCAGTTGCTTGTATCAGGAGAGAAAAAAGAAAAAAGAAAAAAGAAAAAAGAAAAAAGAAAAGAATTAATTATTGCTTTGGACCCGTTCTGGTTTTTTTGGGGGGAAAAAAAAAGATACATAGTAAATCCAACTTTCCTGAACACAACAAGGAAAGAAAAAAACAATGTCACAGCAGCAGAAATGAAATAGGTGATAAAGCAAACTGATGGACTAATTGTTGTGTATATAAATCTGCAGGCAATTAAGCAGGTGAGGAAGGGAATCTATTGGAGTGGAAGGCAATGGATGCAAACAGCAGATTTCTTACAGGATTGCATGCTAGAATGGACTCTGGTAATGGTGATGATACACTGGGCTCTTCAAATACTTCACTTCCTAGATTTAGGAAGCACCTGTGTTGGCAGGTATGGTTTCACTTTTAAAACTCAAAGTGGATTACTTGATCTTGACTCCAGAGTAGAAACAACACCTACAGATGACAACTTTGTATCACTGATTTCAGCATGAATTTCAGAACTTGGGGATATGTTGTAGCATGCTTTGTGCCCACCTCCATACAATAAATCTCAAACTAAAAAAAAAATGAAAACAGTGCAAGAAATTTTAAAAAAATCTTTTGTTATGCATTATCATATTATTTTGCTTTTTCTTACTTCTAAAGGGTGAAGCATTATATCCTTATACATTCCAACTCTTTCTTCTGCATTTTCAAGAATATCTTCAGGCCTCTGCACTAATTGATGCAAAAATTCTGACATCATAAGTGGATCTTCTGCAGTCTGCAGAATGAAAAGTTAAATATTTCAAGATACAGAAATAATGTACTAAACTTATTTTTGTCTTTACTCAAAAGGTAGTTTTCCAGAGTATTGCAATGAGTATTAGTCCAGTGATTGCTGACCATGATCCTGTCCTGATGAAGTGTAGTTTCTGCAAGTTGAGAGGCATGTGCCTAGAATTTGCATTGATAAATCTCTGGCCAGCATTATAAACCAGAAAAATTCAAAATGAATTCAAAATTAACACCTTCATGGAAAAAAAAGAAAATCCATTTGTAGTAGTCTAACACTGAAACCAGAAAACAAGATAGTATCCTGCAAATACTAGTAAAACTTGCTACAATAAACAGAAATTAAGAACGCTTTTATTTGCTTAGACCAAGAAACAGACAATATAGAGTCACCATTCTCCTGATACACCCTTTTAACTTATGGCAAGAAACGGTTCAGTGACTTCTGAGTTAGAAACTGAATCCAGGTTAAGCTATACAATAATCACCATTTGCTGTCATTTAAACCTACCATTTAAGTATTATCCCACATCTCTTAAAGCAGAACAGAAACTGAATTAAGATTAAAGTTGAGCAAAATTAATTCATAATGTAGTATGGTGATATTTTAGAATATCAGAATTTGTTCTGCTTAGTCTAGAGTACATAGTAATACTTTGCATTGTTTAGAAATTAGCAATATTTACCTCTTCTTCTTCCTGCTCTTCATCATCTTCTTCATCCTCTTCTTCATACTGATCTTTCTCTTTCTTATGCTTTTCAATAATGTTAGGATCCCACTGGTTCCTCTGATACACCTGCCCTGAATCAGGGTGTTGCCTTTGTCCTGATATTCTTTGGCATAAGTCATAATCTGAACACTAGCAAGGAATAATTAAAAGGAAATAATGTGTTTACTGTTCTGCTATAATAATAGTATTTTCCCTGAAACTGCAGAATGGGGGGTAGGAGCCTGTTTGGCAAATATTTGGATTCATAAACTACTTCTCCAATAATGTTCTGAGTAAACACAGAGTTTTTGAAAGCAGCAAATATTAAAGAAAGACTTAAACACCTGCATAGATTTTCCCCATCGGCATTTTATGTTCCATATCAGGACTGTAGCCACTACTTGAGCTCATTTCACCATGAAAGTTATACCTTGTAGTATAACAAGTGTAGGTGTAGTTTATGGATAAAAGTATTTTGCAGACAGGCTTGTTATTGCTCTTGCAATTAAGTGGTTTGGACTTGAGCAAGATTAAGTCAATTTTACTAGGTGCCTCTGACCTCTCAGAGCTCTACTGTGACCCAAAAGCATAGTGCCATTGTGTCAGAGGCTGAAGAAGTTCAGCAGTTTGGAGCTCTGGAAGAGTAAGCAATGGTCTTTCCATAAAAAGTCCTGCAGACACAAATTTAGTTTAACATTAAACACAGATAAATCTGGATGTGGTCGTGGTGGTAAAACTATTAATATTTAAGAATTGAGTGGTCTGCCTAAGAAGTTTATCCTAACTAAAACGTTCCTAACTAAACATCCTACCCAGAACTTTAACACTAACAAAAACATTTCTTTAAACTAAAAGCTAACAGTCTGTGACTGTTTCCACCTCCCCACTTCTGAGCTAAGGTAATACTGGGTGTGCCACTCCTATAGGCTCCACCCAGAGCCTTCTTTCTACATTGTCACATGATGTACTGTTTGACTCCTTAGAACTGTGGCTGTTAGCAAGCTGCTTAAGGAGTCCATCCATTCCAGGGATGAATACCTGACTTTGTTAAGATTTAAAGGATTGTTTTTCCTCACCTTTTTCTTTTTTTTTTTTTTTTCTGAAACAAAAAGCTGGTTGGGTCTCTGCAATCACTTAGCAGAGAACAGGGGAGCAGAGGGGGAGATGCTGTCTGAATGTTTGCTCACCACAATCATAGTTAATATAAAGCTTCTATCTGATCTGTCCTAAATTGCACTTGCATTAATACGCACTTGCAGTCCCCAGATCTCCAACAGGTCTTAAGATGGGTATCTTAAAATTCTACTATGGAATTGGGGGTGGGGCACAACGAATAATAAATAATCATTCTTCCTTTCTAAATCACTAACACCTACCCTTCAAACACGTATGAAAAATCTGAGATAACAAGAAAATATTGTAGTTGTTTAGGTCAAATTGTAACAGAAACAGAGAATTGATTTCTACAGAAAATACAGAGCTTTTGAGATCACATTGCTAGCCACAGGCACACTACACTCATCTCCTGAGGTATCCCTTGAAGTATTACAGTACCTCAGGATATTTCTATATTTCTACAGTGAGTCATACAGCTGACATGACTGCTATATGATGTAGCACATTTTGAAATAGGGAAGGAGAAATTTGATCAGATATGGTTCTTTTTTCAAAGATGCATCTTCTGTCCTGTTTCTTGGAGAAACAAAATTTCTCTAAATTGGTCTGCTAATAACAGTATTTTATTATTCCCAGAGTTATCTAGAATCTCCCTTCTTCCTTTCTTTTTGATATAATGAAAATGGTTACAGTTCTGACATATCTGTGAAAACAGCTTGAACCCACTGAAATCAAAGGCAAAATTATTAATTTGGCTTTGGAGCAAGGATTTTTAATAAGCATTCGGTCTCAGTCTTCTTCCCAGAGGAGAAGATAATGTAACTACATGAAGTCAAGAATTCTGTTTTCTTTCTAGTATAGTTAGTATCACTCTTCTATTTGTACTGTTGCACATGAAACTGTACAACATATATTCTCAAGAACTGGGATTTCTCACTATCTGGTATTAAAACAAAGCCTGACTTTCTGTAATGGAAAAGAAATCAAAACTGCCAGAAAAGCAGCAGGAAAATATGTTTCTCTGATGTTTTAAGATCTTTCCATGAGCATAGAAAAAAAGGTTTGAAGTAAGCATTCACAAATTTTCGTTATGCGTAGTCAAACAAATTAAGTCTCAAAAGTATGGAATGTAAAGAACCTTGTCATTAAAACAAACATGGATTTAAAGCTGGCAAAGTGATAGACTAGGTCCATGCACTGAAGCTTAGCATCTGACAAACCACATAGATATGACAACTAGAATCAAAATCCCAATGAGAATGGAGCACAGCACCAGATTGTTTGGCTGATTATTCAGAGTTGCCTTGGCAGCTCATTCTGCACATTCAGAGTAAAAGACGGAGATAATCTAGTTGATAATAAATAAAATATTGCAAGAGAAAGGGCCTGAACCCTTGTCCATGATTATACGTACCGTTACTTAGTCTGCATGGAGTCTGGCAAAGTTTGGTGTGGGCCAGCTAGTATTCTCCCTGGTGAACAGCTGGGCGCAATCTGGAGAGCAGCACAGGCCTAGGGCCTTTCCCAGCGGGCAGTTTGGACACGGCCACCCCATTCTGACTAACAAGACAGTTTAGCTGTATTCTGCCAAACCAGTTGGTCTGATGTCTGAAGAGTCGCTCTTGCCTTGTTTTATTTACTGCTATGGACGTAGCCAGCAAGTCCACTCTTTTAAGTTACATTGAGAAAGTCCTCTTAATCCTACACTAACAATAATTTATGTTTCCCTGGTTATATCAGAGTCACTTTTGTAAAGTATCTGGTATGTCACATTACTACTCATTAAGAGATGGAGAGTCATAAACGAGATGGATTAATAATGACTAAGAAGCAGTTTCACAATTAGTGAGTAAAAAATAAAACAATTTGCTTTCTAACTTTCATATGTGAAAAGTTTCTTCCTGAAATGCATTAATGGCAGATGTACGTGTATACAAAATCCCATAGTAATCGTGTTATTCAAAGTTTTCTCGTCTTGAAAACCTGTATCTTCTAATCGGTAGAGGTGCAACGACTGTAACTGCTACTGAAGTTTTAGGAAATGTTCATTATTTTACATAAGCAATGCTTATAATGGAACAAACTAGTGTAATTCCATTCCAACATAAAAGAGAACAATTTATTATTCCTCAATAAATACTATACTCAACTGCACAGGGGAAAATATTATCTTTTGACTTATGCAGCATATGAGTCTACTAATAATTAGGAAAATGACTAGCAAGTTACTGAAGATTACATTACCTTAATGTTAATCAGGAAATCTGGTTTTAATTTTAGAGTCTTTATTTTCTCTATTTGCTGCGAAACAGTCAGGTATTCCTCTGAGAGAGAAGGAAATCCACTGAGAACATAACCTGCCGAATACATTTTATAAAAGATATCTTTTAGAAGGTTATGTCAAATATAGGACTAGTTATCTCCTTTAAACAATACATCTATTTAGTGGTACAATTTTAAACCATGTACATGACGTAACACTTAAAAAAAATGTGCACCCATGTCTACTGCAGATGAAATACAGACAAAAAAGCATGTTGTGTTCAACTTGCCATAGAACTCTCAAAGTCTGGTAACTCAGTTAAGAAATATAAGAAATATGTAGACATTAAAGGTCATACTCAGACCACCTTCTTCATGTGCCTAGCTCAGACACTGTACTGCCTAAAAAGTAACAAGCTTTTAGTGACCTTTTTTGCCACTAAAAGACTTTGTAAAAGGCACTGCAAAAAGTAGCCACTCTGTGACACAAAGCATTTAAACTAGGAATCTAGGCTTTTTATACAACCTTTAAAGGTCTTTGCTTCTATGGACAATAAAGTGAGCCTCAACAACTCTCTGGGATACATGTGCTCCTGGATGTTAAATCCTCTCAAAAGGAGGCACTATGCACACAGTACGCATACTGAGGCACCTAACTTGGTAAGCATCCATTCACTCAGTATTCCCAATGCTGAGTCCTATTTGGGAAACAGACACCGACTATATATGATGAGCGTGGTGGTAATAATACCTTTTTCCTAGTATTACAGTGCTCAGCCCCACAGATGAACTCGTGGCTTCAAGTTCCTAGGAAAGAATTGTAACTACCAATGGCTTCATGCAGTGCAGTAAGAACTACTGTAGAGCAAGGAACTCAATATTCACGAGGCCAGAATGAGAGACTAAACAAGAATCAAACAAGAATCAAACAAGAATCCCTTGGAGAAACGGTGCATGCTCCAAATGCTTAGAATTTTATGTGATAACATTTAAATGCAAGTCTATGCAGCACAAAAACATAGCAGCAGTCTTTGCAAGAGGTATTAGGACTGAAGACTCCTTCTTTGGGGAGCTACTATCCATAGATGCAAAATTTATAGAAGAGTATATTTGTTTTCTCTTCAGGAAAGCAGGTTCAGACTCTAGCAAGATCTGCAGCACTAGTCTTAACAGCCTCAATTAACATAATCTTTCCTCAAAAAGAAGAATTATTACCACTACCAATACTATTCTCATCTAACTTACTCTCAGTGACAAAATGCAAAGGGAATAAACAATGTTGTAAGAAAAAAAAAAAAAAAGACTGTAATACTTTGCATTTTAAATAATCTACTTTCCTTCTTTTTAATTATTTTAAATGTTTACAATATTTTTGCTGGTGGGTTTTTTTATTGTTATCGTTACAGAAGTATTCAAGAAAAAAAAATCTATATTTTAAATCCTAAAACTTTTCTAACCAGATAATATTGTCAAAAGACAGTCATAGCAACATTTAAAATTTGGGGAAAATTCATTTTCTCAAAATTAACACAACATAGGATTGGCATGACACTTTCTGATCTCCCATATTGGTAAATTAATCCCTAAAATACACTCTCAGTTTATGGATATTCCACAACCTGAGGAGCACATGAAAAGATGCTTCCATCCAATACAAAAATTATATTTGAGCAGTAATGGATGCAAAGTGTGTCAAAATTACAGCTAGCTCATTCTAAGAAGTTTAGGCTGTAAATATACTTACCAAAATGAGCAACTTCTGGTGACTCAATCTTTTTCAGAATCATTTCTGTAACCAGTTCTTCAGAAATACTTTGACCTTTAAAAAGCAATTCTTGACACTAAGGTAAAATGCAAAACATGGTCTCATATAATATGTATTTATCAAGAATGTGACAAAACTTACTAGAAGATTAGACCTTTACCTTAAGCCCATATTCTGTTTCTTCATGAATATTTGTTTGAATTACTTCCAAAGCTGAGAAAGCACATCAGACAGAATAAAATTTCAAAAATTAATAAAAAATATTTTATATACGGACACGTACATGCAGAGATACATACATTCACACACACACACGTACGAGTATGTTTGTGTGCTCCAAGCAACCAGACTATTTTTGAATGAACAGCCATTATATTTAGGGCCATTATTATATTTTGTCCATCCAGAACTTGGTGCCTTCTAGCAATGTCTGGGTAGATGTTTTTCCCTACAATTTAGCCCTATATATACTACAGACAAATGAACAAAAGCAGCCTTGCAGGATTGTTTTAACTACTGATTTATATCAAATTAGCATTACTACTGTGTAATCCAGAGATGAGTATTTGAGCTCAAATACTTCCCAAATTTTAAAAGCAAGTTTTAGAAAAATAACTGTTTAGACACACAAAAACAATTGTGTGTCTAAAGGGCTTTTAAAAAAGGGCTTTAAGGGCCCTTTAAAAAACCCCTTAAAAACCTACTCCTTATATAGTCTAATTATCTAAAATTAAATAAATACTAAATTTGACAGCCATCAAATTCAAAGGCCTGCCCTCTGTCTCTGTGGACAGTCACATCATATCAGAATGATCCTGGAAGTCTTTCACACTTCTATACCATTGAAATAAGCAGACACTCACGAAAGTTTTCAAGAATGACCCTTAAGGCTACATCTATATTATTAATAAACCAGGCCAGGGATAGGTCCTGAAGCTCACGCCTATAGAGCTAAAATCTTTCTCCCCAGAACATGGTGGCTGTTTTCAAACTGCTGCTACTAGTAATGATGACTGTCATGCATACTATCCTTCATACTATGACTGGGTGTTTGGGAGAGCATTATTTGCCATGGGTCCAAACTGATAGAGGGAATGTATTAACAAACAAGACAGACAACTGAAAATCAGCGCTGCACGTGTACCCTGGCCCTGTTTTATTTATGAGTATTGACCCATTCATTGGATAAATGGATAGAAAGTATTTTGTCAAATTAAAAAGACTGTGAACACCTTTCCTATTTAATCATTCTCTAACTTTGATTATTTTTTCAATAAATAATACAGGGCAGGACAGATATTGATACATTGGAGCAAGTCCAGTGGAGGGCACCAAAATGATTAAAAGTCTTGAACGTACTAGGAGAAGCCAAAAGAACCGGCCTTGTTCAGCCTGGAGGAAACAGGACAGCTCTTATTGCTGTCTAAAACTACTTAATCGGAAGGCACAAAGACAGAACCACTGTCTTCACAGAAGTGCAGATCAGACAGGAAGCAACAGACACAAGTAGGAACATGAGAAATTCCAATGGAGTAATTAGGAAGCAATTTTTCATCATGAAGGTGGTCAAACATTGGAAAGTGTTGCCTAGAGATGTGGTGGAGTCTCCATCCTTGGAGATACTCCAGACTCAACTGGACACAGCCCTGACCAACCTTCTCTAGTTGACCCTGCTTTGAGTGGAATGTTGGACTCAATGACGTCTGGAGGTCCTTTCTGAGCTTATTCATGTTTCTGTAAGTTGAATTTCTTTGTTTCTTTCTTTTTTGATGTGCAAAATGAAAAAAAACTATTAGCAAAAGTTGAAGGAATGTGTGTGTGTACACATATGTGGGTAAACCAGAAGAAGATTAAAAGAAAAGAATAGCTCTCTGAATCTACTAGAAATAAGGCATAAAAATGCAATAAGTGAGATTTACATCAGTCATTAAGAAAAAACTTTCTAATGGCAAAGCCTCTGTTACAGAGATAGACTACCTAGAGATTTTTAAAAACAAATTTGATAAGACATTTGTCAGTAATGGTTTAAATACATTCAAACAGTGTGGATTGGCTTAAGTATGTTCCTAAGGTTCCTTCCGATTTTGGTCTGATCTATGTTTGGGACCAGGTATTAATTTTTTGTTAAACAATCCTATGAATTAAAAATTCTATATTTACATAAATCAAAAAAGCACTTTACTAAAACTGATCTTTACCATATTATAATTCCAAATCTTCAACATAAGATACTTCATTTGATAAATACGCCTGTGTACTCACAGGAATAGGAAGTGTTACACTGTCCACTAGAGGGCTTTTATTAGAACAATAAAAAATACTAGGGGGCACATTTAGAAGAAAAAATGTAATGAAAATCGATATATAAAGAGTTAGCTCATAATCAGAACAACGGTACACATATATGCCATAAAATCAGATTTATAATTTGGTGTCCCCAAAGAGGCACTCAAGAAATTGCTTCATAGTTAAGGTTATTTTGTGCTTTCTTTTCTTCTACTTAAAAAGATTATATTACCCTTCAAACTGGTAGGACAAACCTGGTTGAAAAGTTTTCTTTTTTCATAAAACTTAAGTGAATGAATCAAGATTTGTGAATTATAATGTCATGGATACAAAAATATTACCAGGGCTTTAAAAAAATTACAGGTTTTTAGATTTTTTGTAGTTACTGCCGACAAAATTAGCACAAAAGAAAACTGTCAGAGGCTTAATTATTTTTTGTAGTAACCTACTTTCTTGCTGAGATGCCTCGAAATGAAAAAAAATTCTCTAGCGATGTGTTGATAAGGAATAAGATAATGTTGTAGGTAACAGGTTTTAGTCTACAGATCTTCAAAAATCTTCAATGAGAGGGACTGTCAGAAATGAAGCTGGATAGCTTAGAAAATGAAATGGTATCTTGTATTCCGGTAAGTGCATGATGGGAGAAATTAACTACATCTTCCGAAATAAGCCATCAGATATTTTTGTTTTAGAAATTTGAAAGTGCCAGCTCCCATTCCTTCCATTATTATACTGTTACAAAATTGACGCTTCTGTTTCCTAGAGCACATCCCCCCCTTGTATTAGGCACTGCACAAACAGAAAGGAAAGCTCCTCCTATTTTTTCATGGTCTGTATTGGAAAATCTCTGTGCTCTCTAGAGTTGTATGAGTTGCCTCCATCTGAACAAGAAGGGTCACATGAATCACCTTACAGGATTGGGAATATAATTTGATTATTATGTGTTACGTATATCCCCTTCTGCCAAAAAAAAAAAAAAGTTATTTTCTAAGCCTCTGTATAACTAAAAGGCCATTTTTCAGCAATTGCATTTCTGGCAAAATGGTTACGTGGTTCTTATCAGTAGTCTTTACTGCAATCGGAAACACGTCATTTTGAATTACAGGGAACAGCAAGGATATTCTAAACCAAAAGATATTATGAAGCCAACGCAATGTTCCAAATATAGCGTATGTTTACCTTCTATGAAAACGCATTTCCATATTTGGGCTAGTTTTCTAGCTAATGTTTTCTTTCCAGAACCCTTAAAATGAAAAATACACATTTAAAAGAAAAACAGGCAGAAGGAAAAAAAAACAAACCACCAAACATATTACACAATAAAGAATATATTTTCATACGATAAAAACAGTTAAAAGCTACCATTAGGATTAGGGCCTCCAAGTTATGCGCTGGGCAAACACAAACACTCTTTTTAATACCATCCTCTAGTTTATATTGCCTAGCATTGCTAATACACTGTTACTATCCTTTGCAGTTAATTATTTCCAAAGTAATTATACTGACTTTGTTTCTGAGTAACTCCATCTAAAACTCAGCTATGATTTGCCCATAAATTCCTATAAGAAACTCTTTAGGACTGAAATTTATTATCTTCAGTCTCAAAGCAAATTATGATGCAAACCAGTTCAGCTGTTTCTGAGTAAGATACATAGGGATAATATCCTTTGACTAAACCAATGAATATGTAAAAACTGCCCTTGTTAGTCCACAAATCTGGTTTAGATACTGACAAAATGTTTATCTTATCACCTACATTAATTCTGAGGAACCGACATAATCGAGAGTAACGAGGCCTCCAAGAGTACAGCTACCTGGATGGGATTTTGTAGAACACACCATCTTCCACCCTTAGGGTTATTCTCTTTTTTCAAGGGCATACAAGAAGACCTTTTTTGACAGTTGTTTGCCCTCGGTAAATTTTGCCATTAAAAAATAGTAAAAAACCACAAATAAATCATATTCACAGTTAACAGTGTATCAGCAAACACTCCAGCCTACGCATACCTTACATCTTACAGGTGTGATGAGAATATATGTATTTGGTTTTGCTTTAATGGCACTATGTTTTTAACTTAAAAGAAATATCTGAAATAAGATAGACGCTCTACACATCAGCCATATAAATAAAAGATATTATCATGAAACTAGAACATTTAATTCCCCGCCCTCTTGGCCAGGCCCGTGCAATTTCAACCCTTTGTTAAAATTTGTATTAATGTCAAGCGTTTACTGAAGGCACTGATTTCAGATGAGAATAAGTATCTCTTGTATGGTTTTTGTATTGTCTTTCAATCAGTATTTTATGCTGGTTTGGTCTATACAAATGTAAAGTTACCTTTTTCATGTAAGGTTAGAAATTTGACGTTTGTTTAAAACCAGGCGAGCCAATCCACTGTACTTTTCTACATGCACCCTTTTAGTTTTCTACATGCACTCTTTTGGGTCTCATGGTGACCATAAGGCACACTTGCTGGCTATCACCTTATATAGTCTCACTGTGATGTTCGCATCTCATCCACTTGCAGACCAGCCCCCTGCCTCCTTTTGCAGTTTGGTCAGGTGTAAAGATTTGCAGCCAAGCATTACCCAGCAACTGGAGCCAAGGAGTAAGAAAGGATGCAGACCTGTGCAAATACTGGGGACTGGGAGCTTTCCAGCCTGGTGAAAGTCTTTGAAGAAAGGAAATGTAGCCGTATCTTAGCACTATAGCACTGATTTGGGGCTTGATTTGGTGGGTCAACTGGCATTGAATTTTGGGTTGGTTGCCAGTTCTAGGTGCACACCATTTATCTCTCTACCTGCTAGGCAGCGCAAAGCAGATTTCCATACAGTCAGTTCAGACTCTGTTGTGGTACCTAGCGGAATCACACACAAATGCAGAGGGCAAGCTGCTAGAGGACCTTGTGTTCACACTGGAAGTGGGGTGCTCTGAAGGCACCTTTCATGGGCAACTGCAATGTCCAAGAGGAAAGCGGCTTTCAGGGCACCAGTGCTGTTTCCTGGAGTGTGAAGCAGAGCTTCCACTGGAGTTTCCAGTGGTGTGTTTAAGCACATACCAGATTCAGTATAGACATAAGGCAAACTTCCACCAAAAAAGAACCTCCTTCAGCAAACTGAGGCACTAAAGTTTTAAAAGTGAGAATACTGAAATAACATAGAAACAATCCAGTTGCCAATGTGAAAAGAGAAGAAACTTTTTGAGCAACATGTGACTTTTAATTACAGTAATAACACTTCTAATTGTAATTGACTGCTCACTCAGGCCAAAAATTGGCCTCATTAAATGAGATCAGAATCTTTACCACACTCTCCAGGATTTGCAAAGTGGAAAAGATAAAAAAGTAGGTCTTTGATCTTTTTGGCAGCATCAATAAAATAATGTTTTGAAAGGAAAAGTAAAATTGTTAGCAGAATATCTGAAGAAAAAACTTCTATCAGACATCTTACTGGCTTTCCAAGGATAATTAAGCAAGTGGGCTTGGACAACAGAAAGGATTTTTCAGCTTCATCTTCATCAAAGATGTCTGCAAAGGGCTGAGCTTGATTTTCCTCTTGTGAAGCCATAAAATTATCTAAGACTGGGAGAAAAACAAAAGCTTGTTATAAAATACAGTAGCTTACATATGTGTAAAATGACACATACTTAAAAGTGGAACTTTTAAGGCAAATTGCTTTGTAACAAAAGCTGTTATAAGAAGAAAAAGTATTTAGAGAACATACACAATGCACCTATTACTAAGAGAAGAGTCGCTTCTGAAAAATAATAAAAAAAAAATTCCCAGCTGCAACTACATAGATGTTGATAATGACTTCTTCCTGACTCTCAAACTGCCTGTAGTTCTTTTTTAAACAGCACGTAGATGTTGCATTGCCTTTTCCTTCCTGTTCCGATTACCACACAGTTGTAACTTCTCTCTCGTCCCTGAAATGGGCCATGGCCCTGGTAAGACCTTTGCTTGTGAGCTTCAGACACAGAAGAGCCCCATCGTGGTCAACGGAACACTCGCTGTGTCCACAGCAAGGTACACGAATAAGGCTTGTCAGAATTAAATCATGGTTCATGATCTGTTCTGTAATCCTCTCATAAAATCTCAGCTCTTCCAGGACTGCAAGAGATGGCACATCCAACGCTACGCAACAAAGTGAAACAGAAATAATTTCCTAATTAAAGTCAGCTGGAGCAAAATTTGGGTGGGCCTTTCAAACAAATGGCGTCCAAAAACGTGAGGAGCTTGATGAAGCATGGTTTGAAGAAGGCAAAACAAAACCTTGCTTTCTTTACCCCTGCTCCCACCAGTCATTTTTAAATTAAAAAAAATCTACTTCAGGATGAAAATCTGAAAAAGTTTGTTTTGAGACATCAAACTGAAACCTTCTGACACTTACAGAATAAGACCTTTTGAACGATAGGGACAGTGTTTTAATACTAAAAAAAACCACTACACACAAACCAACCCTCCATTTCTCTCACGGAAAGTCGCTGGCTGCACTTCACCTGGCGTTTCCAGCTGTTCCACTCCGTCCCAAACCTTTCCAATTACGGGGCGATTTCCTAATTACAATAACCACCCCAACCAAACCAGAGAAAGAAGCCAGACCCGACCCCCGACCCC